TGGCTGCCGCGCTGAGCCGACAAACAGCTGATCAGCTGTTTGTCGGCTCAGCGCGGCAGCCATGTAAATTTAAATGAAGCGGCGATTATTTAAATCGCTGCTTCATTTTCCTATGCCTGGTAGCCTAATCTACATGCCTCTGGCGACAGAGGCATGTAGTCTAGACGTACCCTTACATACAGAAACATCAGCACTTTTCATTGTTAAAGTGGTTTCTCAGAGCCTCCATGCTATTGATGGCGACCTTATGGGTTCCTTTCAGCACGAGTGTCTGTGTTCAAACTGTGCATCCAGGCACTGTAATATTTCACCATTGCTCAAACAATTTATGTAAACAAAAGCATGTGGCCACCACCTTGCGGATATGATCCTATGAATGGTCCAGCTTGCCATAGACACACCTCCACGTCCCTTTCAATCTGCCAAAGGGACATTCCACAATCATGTGACATTGGCTTAGCACTCTTTACTGCTGTCCTGTTTAAGGATTCATAAGCTATGTCTGTGAGGGTAAGCCAAGTCACCAAGGATCACTATGGTATTTCCACATCCCCCACTACAATTGTCTGGTCTGGAAAGAAATGCCAGCATGCAGCTTTCTGTACAAGCCACTGTTCCTGAAGATACATGCATCATGCAACTTTCCAAAACTTGTGCATTTCACAGGCATAAATGCAAAGTGGTAATTCACATGCACCACAAGCACCATAGAGAAGTATCCCTTACGAATGATGTACCCTGAGGCAAGATGGGGTGGCACTATAATGGGAATGAGCGCACCATCAATTGCCCAGTCACAGTTTTGAAAGCCTATTTCAGCAAAGCCAGCCACTATATCATCCACATTTCCCGGAGGCAGTCCTGCATAACAAAACATGATTTATTTGCCCTGCACACTTCCGTAAGTACTGCCATGATGATAGACTTTCCCACTCCAAACTGATTTGCAACTGAAGGGTACCAATTGGGAGTCGCCAGCTTCCACAAAGCAATGGCAACACACTTCTCTACCACCACAGTTCATGGGCTAACTCAGCGCACAGCTCCAGGAAGGTCGCTTTATGGATGAACCAAGGGTCACTTTACAGTGGGATGGGGCTGCCCGGTGCTTGAATAGGTGGGGAATGAGATATCACACTAAAATTAGCAGTGTGGCTAGCTTTTACTAGGAATGTTAAGTAACAGTTAATAAAATAATTGGGGGGGGGGGGGGGAGGGCAGACACTTGCTACCACCACTGCAGCTCTGCATTTTAAATTAGTAAGAGCCACTGGCTCCAGGACCACTGCACCCCTCATGCTGTGGAAATGGTGCTTGGGGGAACCAGATTTTAAACTGTCTCCCCCCAGCACCAGCTCCTGCTTCCTCCCTTGCTGACTCTGATACAGAGTTGGGGGGGGAGAGTAGTCAAATAGTTACTCAACTACCCAGTAAGCCTCTGACTATTCAACTAGTTGCTTACATCCTTAGTTTTTAACCCACAAATACTTAAGCAAAAATAAACGTTAGTCTTTAAGGTGCCACAGGACTCCATGTTTGTGTGTGGATATTGTGGCTCAAATAGCAGCCCGGGTTCTCAAGACCACCCAATCCCAGGTCACATGGCTAGTCAAAGAGCAGGTCTACAGTACAACCGCAGTAGCACATCTTGCTATGCCCACAGGACAGTGCTCTCCTGTCAGCTTAATAATGCCATCTCCTTAAGAGATAGAAGCTCTGTCAGAAAGAAAGCATCCGGGCAGTAGCTCTCCCAACAACAAAAAGATAGTGTGTGGACGTGTGGACAGCTAAAGTTGATATAGCATGCATGGCTCAGAAGGGTATCTTTCACACCCATAAATGAGGTAAATTGCATCAACAACATGATAGTATAAATCAGTTCCAAGTCTCAGGCAGAACCAGCTGTATTAGAAACTGCTATTTTTAGAAACATTCAACTTTAAAAAAAAAACCACAACTTCTGTTAAAGTTTTCAACTACTTTTGTTTCAAGTAACACCAACTACTTCTATATGTTTAAAAAAAAAAAGTATTTTGATTTTTTCAGTTTTTGTACATTTGACAAGGTTGAGTATATTGTGTTCACTGCTCTCCAGCCTGGTCAATTCATCTCCCAGTTTTTAATAAATCTTTCACACAGCAAAGCAGGAAAAGTATTTTTAAAGGGAAATGCAACTGCAAAACCACAAAAGCTGACAGAAGGAATACTTAAACTTTTAAAAATGGCAGATTTCAAGATCTCACTTAAGGCACAAATAAGATCCCTGTTAAGTATTGCCACTAACTTCAATGGGTCCTAAGTAACTAATCCAAAGATATAGAATAAGCTGGTGGCACAGAGGGAAATCAAATCCAAAACTAGCCTTTTGTACTCTAACCGCTAAACCACACTTCTTCCCACACACAAAATAAAAGATTTCTAAAATCCAGCTGCTGGGATAAAGCCACAGGTCACTTTTGGGAAGTCTTGAGATGTCCGCAAACTGTCCTCCCAAGGGCCTTTTAGGAAACAACCCCTGTTCCAAAAACTCAGCAATAACGAGCCTGATGGGAGCCAGCGGGCAGCAATCCGGGGGGGAGGCAGATTCACGAGGCATGGCCGCACCGAGGGGCACCCGGCGGGGCTGCGGGCTCCCTCCGCTTTGCAGCAGCTGGCGGGTGGCCGGGATGGGGCGGGGACGGTTACACTATCCCCTTCCTCCGCCCCCGCCACCCTTCTCGGCGGCCGGGGGGCCCGCAGGGGAGGGGGGGCCCCCC